ACAGGCGTGAGCCACCGTGCCCAGCTGAGACCTTAATTTTTTTATTTGTTCACAGCCTATGCAAGCCCTGACCTGTTATACTTTTCCGTTAAGAACTTGACTAAGTATATAGAACAATGGAAATAAGAAAGGAAAAAGAATACCTGTCCAATGGCATCTAGATGCAAAGGAATGGGGCCAGATTACGCTAGGGACACATCTAAAAAAATAAATTTATATCGATAAATGTCAGGTCCAGAAGCTGACAACAGAAAATGAGCTGCCTAAAGAGAGTGCACAAAAAGAAGTGGCTCAATATTCACCCTAGGAGAAGACTTAGGACTTTTTACTAACGATAACAAAGGAAAGAGGCTGCCCACAAAAGCTAGTGTGGTCTGAGACTGGATTAATAGAAGTATCACATGTGGAAAAAAGGAGGTGATGGTCTCACCCTACACTGCCCTGACATGGCCACACCTAGAGTGCTGGGCTCAGTTCCACTCTGAACTTCAAAAGGCTAATGACAAACTGACCTCCCGAAGAATTCTAGAGGATGGTGAGGGGGTCTAGAAAGCAGAACATCTGAGCATCCATTGAAGGAACTGTGTCAGCACCCTAAGACATTGTGAGAAAAAAATTAAATTAAAATTAAAGTGAAGGAGCTGTGGATGAATAAATAACCAGAGGAAGAAATGCTCTGAGAAGCCATAGTCACTTTTCTAGCATCCCTGAAGGGCTACCACGGGATACAGAAAGCACCCAGCTCAGTGTGGCTCCAGAGGTCAAACGGGTGCAGAAGTCACAGAGTAGCAGATTTCAGTTCACCGCGGAAGACAGCCTATCCAGAGTCAAAATGGGCAACCTCACAGGGGGAGTAAGCTCTGTCACTGGAAGCAATCCAGCAGAGGCTAAAGCAACCACTTGGTAAGCAAGCTGTGGAGCAGATTCCCACGCCTGGTAGGGTATTGGACTGGAAGACAACTGGTGTCCTGTCCATTCCTAAGATCTTAGGATTCTAAGGCTGAGTTCCAGGGCATGAGAAAACAATCTGTCCACCAAGACAACGGTGCCTGTGCTTTTAGGGGTCTGTGTGGACAGTGGGTGTTTGCCCATCTCTTTGGTGGAAGTATATGTGAGATATTTACTGCCTGGACTGATGTACAAAAGGTGGAGCTTGAATTGCTCCTGGAGACAAGCTCCTGGCGCTTATATTTAATATACACTCATATACCCAACGTGCTTCAAAACGGTGTCACAGCCCAAGTGTCAGAGACTAAGTGCACGTCACCTGGCCAGCCCAGGGCAACCTTGAGTTTCCCATCTATGAATGGCAGTGTAGGACGAGGCACCCTCTGAGGACCCATCTTTATGTGGCTTTCTCTGAGTCTGCACCCCCCAGCTGGGGAGGGGCATCAAGCCAGTCCAGGCTTGTGCCAGGGGAAGGTGCCTCTTGACCTGGGAGGACTGCAGAGATAATTCCCTACGGGAACCGGGCCACCACTGTCTAAAATGGACCACACTCAGCATGACAAATATTGCAAGAATTTGCAGATTTTCCTCTTTATAAATCCTCACATCTGCAAAGCCCACCCCAGCACCACATGCAGCAGTTTCCTGTTTTCCAGCACTTTTGACTGCTGTGGCTGGCGCCCAGGGCTCCACAGGACCTCCAAAGAGCTCCCCTCAAACCCAGCTGCAAAGCCCGCGGGAGAGGGAGGGGCCACAGAACCGGGATTGACAGCTGGGCCCTTGGATTCTCAGCACGTGGTGCCAGCTCACGTAGTGGCCGCAGCCTCCAGGAGCCCAGCACATGGAGGCCTAATAGCCCACGCTGCCTGGAGCCGCTTGGCAGCTGTGACAGATGGCGGTTAAAGGGCCACAAAGCTGCCCTAATTATAACTTCTCCAGGCAGCCGAGAGCGTCCTCAATCACTTCAGTGACTCAGTCCAGCCCCTGTCCAGCTCCTGGGAAGGGGGAATAGCCTGGCATCTATCACTGGCCCATGAAGTCAGCAAGCAGAGCAGACAAACCGAAGGACAGCCTGACAGCTCACCTGGGCGCTCCGATGCAGTCCCTCCCCGTGAGCAGAAGCGCACGAACCAGGGCGCTCCGGCTTCAGGTCTCAGCAGAAGCACCGTGACTCATGAGCAAACACATAATTAGCCTCGAAGCCCTGGGCTTTGTTGGTTGGTGGGTTGGGACGTTTTTAGTTTAATACCATCGTTCACATTCCCTGAACACGAGGTTCCCTGGAAGGAGACTCCTTCTTATTTTAATGCCACAGAGCATAACTTTTGGAGGGAGCCTGGAACACCAACATTCTACTCTGGTTGACACTAAGTTGAAGTGTGAGCCTCGGGCAATTCGCCAAGCCTCAGTTTCCCCTTCAGTAAAGACTTCCAAGGGCCCTTGGAGCTCTGCTATCTTCTGATGTGAGGCAGGAAGGAAATTTGACCTGAAGCCCGTCATGCTCCTCACTTCTTTTCTGCAGAGGACCTGCTGGACCTCCAGCAGGGCTGCCCGGCCTGGCTCCAGCTTCATGCCGAGGCCTGAGGAACCCGTGCCCATCTTTTCAGGTCCACCTGCCTCCAAGTTTCCCAGCCAGGGCAATCCCACTCAGTAATCAGCATGTCTGCACGTAGCTAATACCTGTTGCCTGGAACCCAGGGACTGGGAGGGGCCTCTGGGAGCTTCTGGTCCTGCCCCCTCCCAGTGCACCCGGGGAAACTGAGACCCAGAGAGCGGCTGTCTCTCCCTGGCTACCCAGTCATGGCCTCGTCTACAGAGAGATGTCACCCAAACAGCCTGAGGGCTCCCGAGGAAGATGTCAGGCTTGGAGCAGCCGGGGTCTGTCGTCACTGCCCACAGCAGGTGCTGTCCTCAGTCACGCGCTCATCGGGGCTCAGGCCAGTAGGTCTGCCTGAGAGGCTTGGCCTGAAGCTCAGGCCTTGGTGCCTCCAGACCTCCCCATCTCACCAAACGTCCCCTCTCCTGGGGCAGTACATAAAATCGCCTGGCTTGTTTAACAGAACTGACCTCATAGCGTTGCTGCTGTGAGGATTACATGAGTTAATGCATGTGAAGCACTTGGGTGAGTTCTTGGCACAAAGTGAGGATCCAATAAATCTTTGTGGCGATCGTTATTTTTGTTGTTGGGTAAAATCAGAATCTCTGGAGACTCCACCCACAGAGATCCTGATCCCTAGGTCTCAGTGGGGCCCAGGATGCTGCATGTTTTACAAACTTCCCAAATGACTCCAATGCAGGAGTCCACAGAACATGCTCAGAAACACCACGTGAGGTCTAGACTAGCCGAGAACCCAGGCTTGGACCTTTCATCGCTGACCGCTGAGAACAAGAGGGCCCAGCACGGGGGAGGCCGCAGGTCCTGGCACAGGCCTGGCCCCAGCCTCTACCAATACTTCTCTCATTAGCCCCTTCTGCATCCCCATCAGTAACTGTGGTTTGTGCTGAGTTGAACCTGGCAATAGAAGCTGCTTCCAGAAACGGCACTTACAGCCTGGAGCACCAGAGGTGCAAGAGCTGTCTGAGTGCACCTAGTCAAACCGTCTGCTCATTTTGTACCTGGGAAAGCTGAGGGGGTCCCCAGGGAGGAGGGGACTGGCCCAAGGTCACACAGTCCGTTAGAGACTTCTGACACCCGATCAGGGCCCCTCACTACAGAGCTTGGCGAACCCCTGAGCCTCATCACCGGGATTCGGGACTGTGTCAACCACATGCCTGGCAGGGCGGGACTGGGGAGGAGGTGGTTTTGCACCCCCCAGCTTAAATCAACTGAGGCTCATACAATCCACCTTCTCCCTACCCAGCATGATTCACCAAGGGCAAGTGCTTCTACCGACTACCAGGCTGCGTGGGTTCAGGGATTCATTCTTTAAAGCTGCTCTGATGCCAGTGTTTGTTCAATTCCACCTGGGTCTCCTGGAGGACTGTAGGGAAGGGAGGGAAGGGACAGGGAGGTCACCAGAAGGGGTTGACCCCTGTAATCTCAACAAGAAGGCTGGAGATGGAGTCAGGGTTGCAGATGGATTTGTGATGAGGGGTGTGTGGATTTGAAATAGGGACAGCTGCACCTTTCCCTGTGTCTTTGCTCAAATGTAGAGGCAGGAGCTGGGGCGGAGGTTACAGGCCCCTGATTTGGGAATATTCCACCCCAAACAGAAAGCATCCTTGAACTCCGAAGCCAGACTGGCCACACCCTCACCCTCACCTTGATCAAGTGGGGAACCCCATCTCTCATCTCTCACAGCCCTTCAAAGCCAAAATGTTGCTTATTGTTTTAAAAAAGAAAATCGGTTAAAAAGCGCAATTCCTTTCCAGCCCTTCTGTTGGGGATCCTCCCAGGTTTGGCTTCCTACAGAGGCCAGAGCAGGACTGTCATTAGCCTGGCAAGGGTGGCAGGAGACACTGACAAATCGCCCAGCAGAACAGGGAGAACTGCCCCAAAAGGGCTCTTATGAGACTAACCACGGTCTACAGACAGCCCCCTTCTCAGGTGGGCACCTGGGATCCCAAAGTAGAGAGAAATGGATCAGCCCCTGATCCAAAAAAAGCATCAGAAGCAGATTCTAATTTCTGTGTCCCGAAGCCAAGAGAGGGCCATGAAATCTGAAGCAGCAGTGACTCTTTGGTGGTCAGGATTCAGGGCAGCAAATTGCCATGTGTGATCACAGTCTGTTTACTGGCAGGACTGAGCAGGGGCAGCTTCTCCCCCATCGCGTCTTATTTCTCCATGGCTGGATCTACTCCTACCCTCGCCTCACCACCCCCTCCATTTACTGAGCAAGCTAAGGGAGTGTTCCCTAGCCCTGGGAAGAAGCTTTCACGACCTGACTTCTGCGGAATCTATCCAGAACTTTCCCCTGGCCCCAACCCCTCTCATATGCCTGCCTCATCACTGTTGAGCCCGCCCAGCTGACTCAAGACCACAGACAAATTGGACTGTCTGGCCCTGAATTTACCCCAGATGTTCAATCTATGCAGAACGAAGGAAGTGCCAGCCATTAGAGAACTTCTAAATTAAGGAGCCAGTGCACCAGCACATTTGAGAGCTGCCCGAGATAAAGCGATGTATCCCAGATAACCTCAAAGGAGAAGCTGGCACGTGGCAGACAGGCACCCGGCACCTGCCGCTGGAGCACACGTGTCATCCCAGAGAGAGTGCAGCTGCACCGAGGTGACGCACTGGGCCCAGGGGGTGGAATGGCTCTTACACTTTGGCAGGGGTGGGAGAGTCTTGAAAGTTCTGGTTTTCCACAGTTGGTTTCTTGGCCCCAGGTCCTGCCTCTACATTTGAGCAGAGACACAGGTCAAGGTGCAGCCATCACAATTTCAAATCCACACGCCCCTCATCACAAATGCATCTCCTGCTCTGACTCCCTGCTCAAAGCCGCCAGGTTCCACCGAAGCCGGCCCTTCCAGCGGGAGAGAGGGGAAACTGCCAGCATAGTGTCCCCTAAGCCACACGGTTAGAGCCTGTACAACGCTGAGCCCATGTCTGAATTCCAAACTGGAACTGCAAACCAGGGACCGGCACATCTGCTGAAGTCACACCTGCAGGAATTGTGCGTCTATGTAAAGAAGATAGCTCTCTTGCCTGGGAAACCCCCATGAAGGAAAGTCTTGGACAGACCCGAATGCGGGGCAGACCACTGGGGGCCACCAGGGTAAGTGCCAGGAAAGACAGCACAGGCTCAAATAATCCGAGCCTTAAAAAGAAAAGTTCTTCCCCCAATGGATCTAGATTCCAGAAAGGTCAATCCAGTGACAAGCGGGTGATAATTTCATCCACTTTCAGCCCAACTTGCTGGTCTCAGACATCTCAGCACCCCAGGATGACATCATGAGCTGCTCAGGGCAAGGGGCCAAGAGACTGTTGAGGCATCAGCAGAGCGGCTGGTGGTCCTGGTGTCCGGGCAGTGAGGGAGACAGGCTTGCACCCCTCCAAGCGCAGGCTTCTCCTGGCCCTGTCCCGAGAGCATCCCCAGGCACATGTCAGCCCTGCCTCTTCTGGGGTCTCCCAGGGGAGCAGGCCCAGCAGAAATGGGAAGGGGCTGGCCAGGTCCTCTAAGCAGAGAGGAGGGAGGGGGTGGCTCGCCTACTTACCAGCAGCTTGGCGCCCGCCCACCGTGGACAAGAGGGAGCCTGAGAGGAGGACGAGGGATGGCTCAAGGCTGCAGCATGAGTGTGGCTTGCCTGAGCTGTCCCGGTATTTAAACTATCCCGGGCATGAGTCACTGCAGAGGGCAGTGTCGGCCCTGGGAGGGGGGACTGTGGGCCACAGTGCAGCGCCTGGATGTCCTGGGCTGGCACTACAGGGGACACACAGCTGGCATCCCTAAATGTAAGGGGTTTGCTTCAGCTGCGTTTAAAAGCTCAGGACATGTTTTCCTCTTTCTTTCTTTCCCCCAGTGTTTCACTGCTTTGGCTGCTGTGAGAGGGGAGTTTACAACGACCCCGTAGCCCCCTCCCTAAGTGACTGTGGACCGCTGCTGCCCTGCCCCTCCCAAGGAGACATGGACAAGAACCCCGAGAGAGGCATGGGGCAGGATTCAAGGGAGTTTCTTTGCTCCTGGAAGTATTGGCAACTGCTTCTCCCTGTGGTTCTAGAAAACTCATGTATTCTTCTATTTCTTTTTTCTTTTAAACTTTTTATTTGGCTTTAAATTTACAGACAATTAACATGATTCACCTGTTGTTAGCATTTTGGAAGAAGCATTTATTTTAGATTCCAAGGAAAAATATAATTATGACCACTGTGTCCCCTTTAAAAACAGTATTTCTGATTTCCTTGCGATGCTGGGGTCTGTGCCACTACTGCTGCCCTGAGAGGTGCAGGCACACACATCTCTGGCTTGGGGACGGGCAGTCAAGGGGCCTATCTGGGCGTGCGGAGCTTCCCTATGCCCCTCACCTCTGCATTACAGCCCACACCCCACTGCCTCTGTCTGCCCCCTTCCCCAGTGGGGACAAAACTGTTTCTATTTGTGGTATCCCCAAAAGGGCCTGGGGAAGAGGATACAGGAGTCATAGTTGGAGGGGTGGGGAGGCTTCCAAACCCCAGCTTCTCCTCCGAGATGGAGCCTCAACAAGGCCTGCGCTGCCCCCGGCTGAAGCCGGCCTGCCCTCGCCTGGCTCAGTTTACCCTCTCAGTTGAGCGGGGAGAGTGATATTTACACACAGTGCCTCATGGAGTGCCAAGAGGCTTAATTAATATTTGCACTGTGCTTTGAGATCTGCGATGAAAGGAAGATATAAAAGTGCATAGTGTTATTACTGAAATAGTTGCTTGGGTGGCTTGCCATGGTCAAGGCCTACAGCCTGAATCATGCCACATTCCTCCTCACCGTGGCACTGTGATTCAGAGTCAGAAACAAAAAGTGTCTGTCCATTAAATACCAGGAGCCCAGGAGGGGCAGGCACTGCTTGGAGCGGCTCCACACAGCTTGCGGCTCCATCCCTTCACCCACCAGCCTTGCTCCCACCTGGAGAACACCTGCCCTCTTACAGCCTTGGTCCCTCCACCTTCCCAAATCAGGTACTTTAACTTTTTTTTTTGTTTTTGAGACAGATTCTCACTTTGTCACCCAGGCTGGAGTGCAGTGGCCCGATCTTGGCTCGCTGCAGACTTCGCCTCCCGGGTTCAAGCGATTCTCCTGCCTCCTGAGTAGCTGGGATTACAGGCGTGCACCACCAGTGTGCAGGCCCAGCTAGTATATTAGTATAGACGGGGTTTCTCCATGTTGGCCAGGATGGTCTCGATCTCCTGACCTCGTGATCCACCCGCCTCGTCCTCCCAAAGTCCTGGGATTACGGACATGAGCCACCACACCTGGCCACTTTAACTTTCTTTCCATTGAATCTGCACGAATAAGAATATCCCTCTTTTTCCTCTTCCGTCCTCCCTAATCCTAGCACCCAGCTTCTCTGTGTCAGGCACTGTGCTGGGAGTGGTAGACAACACAGGGATGAATCGGCTACATTTAAAGATGGCTATGTGAGAAGCACCTGCTGTGAACCAGAGACCCCTTGGGTACCTCACTGCAGCTGTCCATCATTTCACCTCCACCAGCTTTCTCAGCCTCACCACGTGACATTTGGAGGCAGATAATTCTTCATTGCAGGAGCTGTTCTATGCGTCATAGGAGGCACAATGGCATCCTTGGCCTCTGCCCTGTAGATGCCAGCAGTATCCCCCAATCCAAAAGTAACAAACAAAATGTCTCTAGACATTGCCAAATGTCCCCAGGAAGGGAGAGTTTACACACGTGCACACACACACACACACCACACACTCATGGTTGAGAACTACTGATCTGCCAAATAGTCCTATGAGTGGCAGTAATTACCCCCATTTCACAGACAGAAAAACTGAGGCCCAGGCCTGTTAACTAATTTCTCCGCAGCCACATGTTAAGTGACAGAGCCAGAGTCCAAGCCCAGCCTGTGGGCTCCATGCTATCTGCACACCACTGGCTCCTGTCCTCTGGCACACAACCCCCACGGACGGAAGTTCAGACTGACGCAGAGCGGGGCTGGGAGAAGATGGGAGGAGTGAGGTCACTGACGGACCCTTCCTCAGGGCTCAGCCGGGCGTGGTGCCTCACGCCTGTAATCCCAGCACTTTGGGAGGCCGAGGTGGGTGGATCACGAGGTCAGGAGATCGAGACCATCCTGGCTAACACCGTGAAACCCCATCTCTACTGAAAATACAAAAAATTAGCCGGGCGTGGTGGTGGGCGCCTGTAGTCCCAGCTACTCGGGAGGCTGAGGGAGGAGAATGGCGTGAACCCGGGAGGCGGAGGTTGCAGTGAGCTGAGATCCGGCCACTGCACTCCAGCCTGGGCGACACAGTGAGAGTCTGTCTCAAAAAAAGATGAGCAGGCTCTGGAAGGTGAGGGGAGAGGGTAAAGAAAAACCACCCGATCAGAGTGAGCAGGAGAATGAGGCTGGAGCCCAGGCTGTGTGGCAGGGCCTCACCGAGGACTGGGATACTCCGGAAGAGTAATGTCCTCTCCAGGCAGTAGGGAGCCAGCAGGAGTGTCGGAGGAGGGAGAGGCCCAGGTGGAGCCATGCTGTAGGAAGTGTGCTGTGGAGGGCGTCCAGTCTTCACAGAGGACTCTCTCTGGCTCTCGTGACAGCACATGGGTTTCCACGCAGTAACCAGGCCGTGCAGGACGGAGCAGTCCCCCAGGCCGGGGGTACTGTGGAGATCGGGCTACAGGACTCCAGGTTTCCGCACGTGGAGCCCTCTCTTCCCCAGAGAAGCACCTTCTCCTACAGAGAAAGCAAGGCAGCACCCCGTCAGCCCCCAGAACAGCCGTTCTGTTCCACTAATGAGGGGAGAGGACATCTATTATTATTGAAAGAAAAAGCCTGATTTACCCCCGCAGGCCCTGTAACCTCAGGGCTCATTTTCCAGCCCCCTGGGAGAACCAGAAGAGCTGGGGAACTCTGCTCTCTCCCGCCCTGGAGTGTATCTCTATTGTAGTTAACAAACACAGACTCGGGCACTGGAGGCCATGAGACCCAGCCTCACCTCGGTGGGGCAGACCCCTCCGCAGCACCCTCCACAGCCCTGCTCACTTCCCCTCAGGGGTGGGGACGCTGTGGCCACACCGTTACGTCCCCTGGCAGAATAAAAAAGATGGAAAATGCCTCGGGCTGGTAAGGATGATGGCAGTCTCACACTCTGCTGATGGGAATATAAACTGGTAGACCAATAGCTATCAAAATTCAAAAAGCCAGGCATGGTGGCTCACGCCTATAATCCCAGGGACTAGGGAGGCTGAGGCGAGAGGATCCCTTGAAGCCAGGAGTTTGAGACCAGGCTGGACAGCAGAGTGAGACCCCATCTCTACAAAAAAAAAAAAAAAGAAACTCAAAATGTGTAAACCCTCACGTACACAGACACGACGGTGCATGTGCACAAAGCGATACGTTCAAGCATGCTCCAGGCAGCACGGCTGGTAACCACAGATCACCGCGAACAACTCAGACGTCCGGCTACAGGACGGTGACTGCGCGCATCAGGAAAATCCATACCAAACAGCCAGTTTGAAAAGATGAGACAGGTACATCTTTAATTGCAGAAGAAAAACATATCAGATGTATGAAGCATAAAATCAAGTCACAGATTAATATATATAATACAATTGCACTTACTGGCTTAAGAAAAAAAGACGTAAATGTACAACTCCTCAGTTATACCTTAACACATGGGAGAGTTAGGAGAACAATCTGTCTATTTGTCAATCATGATCACACAAAAAGCCCAAAGATGGTACGAAACATCAACTTTCCCACTGAATGGCCCTTGGTGCCCTCAGAGTCAGCCTCAGATGGCCATCCAGGGCTCTCTTCTCCGCCTGGTTCCCTCCCACCTCTCTCCTGCCTGGGTGCCCCTCCACCTGCTCTCCCTTCAGGAGGCAGAAAAGGCCATGAGAGGCCCAAGGAGCCAAGGAGCAGCCAGTGGTCCCCAGCTCATTCCCAGGGTCCTGGCTGTTCTCTGAAGGAGGAATTTTAGGTTGTTCCTCAGAGCAGCGCATCTCAAAGACACACAGGGATCGCTTTTGGCATGCAGACAGCCTCTCGTAACAGGACTGTATTGGAGCATTCGGCCACCTGAGTGTCTGTAGATGTATTCAGTTTTATAGAAAACTTTCCCTGACAGCTTAAGAGGAACAAGAAAGAACAATGCAGGTGACAGTAATTTCACCCAGCTATATGGTGTGTGTCTGTCCGTGTGTGTTTGTATCGCACATATATACACACACATATGGTGTCTTTTTCTGTATCTATATAGAAATGCATAGAGAAAGATCTAGAAGGACACATACAAAATTGTCACAGCAGTGGGGGCAGGGAGCAGTGATAAACAAGGGTGTTTGTAACTATGTGTTGTTTTATGTTTCATTAAAACAAACATGCATTGCTGAATTACATCCGGTAGGTAATTAGAGCAACTATTTTGAAATATAAAAATAAGGTTCTTTTTTTTTTGAGATGGACTCTCGCTTTATCTCCCAGGTTGCAGTGCAGTGGCGCAATCTAGGCTCACTGCAGCCTCTGCCTCCCGGGCTCCAGCGATTCTCCTGCCTCATCCGAGTAGCTGGGATTACAGGCACACACCACCAGGCCTGGCTAACTTTTTTGTATTTTTAGTAGAGACGGGGTTTGGCCATGTTGCCCAGGCTGGTCTCGATAAGGTTCTATTTTTTACATCTTTTTCTTAAACTGAAACCTGCCTCCCTGGGCCCTCCACACTGGGCTCTCCTCCACCCTTTGGGCCCCACGGTGCCTGCCCTTGCCCATGTGAGGCCCATCCATTCCAAAGCCTTCTCCTCTCCTGCACCCTTGGAACTGCCCCACACAGGCCCTCCCCACAACCGTCCTGACGGGTCGCCGGGGAGCCCCGCATTCACTCAATAACAGCATCCGGTAAGCGGCAGGCCCTGAGCCGGCTGCGGGTGTACAGAAGTGAACCCACTCTGAGGGGCTCAAACACAGGAACCATCAGCCTCCAGCGTAAGGCCCATGTGGAACTGGTGCTGTCATTCGATGAGCTTTGGCAAGTGTGTAACGACATGTATCCACCATCATATATCATACGGAGGATATACACCACACAGAACTTTTTAATGGTAAAGAATGAAGCATGTTTATAGACTGAGTGACATGTCTAGTGGAGTCAGTGTCTAGTGGAGAAGGAGGGAAAGAAAAGGAGAGGAAAGGAGAGAAGAGAGGAGGGGAGGGGGAGGGGG